GCCTGACGGCATCAACTATCAGAGTCTTGAGTCAGGTTGGCTAAATCCTAGAATAGCACTCTCAAATCTAAGCTTGCAGTCATGCATAGTGATAATAAGGACTGACAATGGAAGCCCTCTGATGGATGCTAACTAAGCCATTGGACTTGGAAATGGCTTGTTGGTAGTGGTAGCTATATCTGCAGACAATGCAATTTCACACAAGATGAATAGGTGTCTATACTGAAGTCTTGAAAACTATTGGGAGAAAAAGAAAGGAAACAGATAACTAAATTCATGAGGGCATATCGGTATTATTTATTGCAACATGGTTTCATATTCAACAATTATAGAGTCAAGTATAGGTTCCCTTTTAAGCATAAAAGAATTATAATGCTGGATTTTAGACAAGTAGGATTGTCATGTCTATAGAACAAAATATCCTACCATTGCCATTATAGAAACAAATGTAGTGCTTCAACCATCCCAGAAATAAAATGAAAAGTGTTCTTCTTACCTTCCAAGTGTTGGGAACATTTTCCCATTAGGGGCATATTTGTAGGAAAAATTGCAAAGAAGAGAATAAAGAAAATTGACTTGGATTCCTTTGATATCGATTACAACTTGATTACAAAAGAGGAGAGAACGAATTTGATTCTCTCCTTTGTTTAAAACTGGGTTCTTCTCGGTAGCGATGGAATGCCTCCTTCGATTGCTCGCGTCGAAATTGCTCTCCGTTGACGATCCGATGTTTTGCTTCACTGGAACGATATCTTCTCCTCACGATTTGACGTTGTGGAGAACTTGCGTGGCAAGTTTGAGAACTCTGAACGAGTTTAGAAGAACTCTGTAAAAGAGTTGATTTGAACCGAAGATCGGTTAATAAGCCAAGTCTAGAAGAAAGCTCTGTGGTCGATCGTTGCTGAAGGATCAAGGCCGATCTCCTCCAAAACCTTTGCTGCGAAGTCCCAGATCCGAAAATGCCAGCCTTGCTGCTAACTCTTCCGTTTCCAAAAAACCAGCCTTAACTCAGTTGGGTTTACCCATATTTATAGGGAATTAAGAGGTGTAACCGCCCCCTTACTTCGCTCCATAATGGAATTGAGAGGGGTCCCAACTTCGCCTCTTAGAATTGAGACGCGAGGTTGGGTGTTAGCTGAACATCATTGAACGCGAGGGTCGCTCACGTTTTGGCTTGTTGCCTGCTTGGAAACGTGGGGGTCGGTGTTGGTTGGACCCCTACGAACGCGAGGGTCACTCACATTCAGCTTGTATCTTAGAGACGCGGGGGTGGTTTGGAAACGCGGGGGTCGCCTGCACTTCCCAAGTTGTAACGCGGGGATGACATCCGCGTTTCAGAAGGAGCTTTTTGACTTGTAACTTCTTCTGTGAAGCGTTGCGAGGACCGTTGTTCAGTAATCCTGGCTTTAGCTGTTGTAGGGTATGAAAGTCGTCAGATTGTAACTTTCACCGTATATTGTGAAGACTGCTGAATAGAGTTTTCATCAGTTGTCGGAAGTGTCGTTGAATTGTAACTCTTCTCGATCTTATGTGAAAAGTCCTCTATTTGCCGCTTTCGATTGTCGACCCGAAAGCTATTTGATTGTAGCTTTCGTTGTGGGAGCTTGACGGGAATCAACATCCATAGTGTTTTGAAGATGAATATTTGCCCACAGCTCTCTACCAAGCAACTCACCAACTTTCGATTGTCGGCGCGAAAGCTATTTGATTGTAGCTTTCGTTGTAGGAACTTGACTGGAATCAACATCCATAGTGTCTTTAGATGGATATTTGCCCACAGCTCTCTACCAAGCAACTCACCAACTAAGTCCAACCTTTCATTTCTAAAATCATTACACTGCTCATCAGCATCTCCAATAATTGCTAATATAATATTAGTCGTGCTGTTGTCGCAGCCATCAAGATCAATCATCTCAGAAATGAGGTCGTGTTTGTGGCGATTGTGGAGTTGCGGATGCAGTGATTAGAAAGTCGTCTGATTGTGACTTCCCTTGTCGGAGCTTGATAGGGGTCAGCTATTCATTGTGATTTTTAGACAGCCTACAGAACCCCCTCCAAAGTTTTCAAAAGTTCACGGTTGACTGGGATGAATTTTCGGAATACTTTGGATCCCAAAATTTAGTGGATTCATTGCTCCCTCCGTCTGATCGAGCCAGATGATTTCACCGTTGTTAGTTGTAATCTATCTGTACTCTTCCAATAGACTCCCCAGTGGAGTCGTTGGTTTCTTCCCGGCTTCGGTCGCCTTGACGATTGCTGTTAGCTCTTCTTTTATTCATCTGGGGCTGTGTCGTAGCCTTGGTAGTCAAGAAGCTGTTATCATAGCGGTCCAAACACAGAGATAATTTCTGCCTTTGGGGATTAGAACGCGTGGGTGAGCCCAGCGTTAGGAAATTTGAACGCGAAGGTGGGCATCGCGTTTGGAAGCTCAAACAACTCGAACGCGAGGGTCGAGTTTAGGCGGGATGGTGGCCTCGAATCCCGTCCGTTACTATTTGACAGCTCATAGCTGTCTATAAATAGACCGCTAGAGGTCAAATCAAGAGTCATTCGACTCTTCTTGAAATTTTAACGAAAAATTTTCGTTCTCATCTCCGGCGAAACGCTGTACACCTCCTCTGACGAGATTTAATGGCACCCAAGAAATCAGTCGCTTCTAAATCCGATGCCGCTGCTGCTCGAGGGTCGGCATCGTCAGCGTCGGCCGGCGGCGCTGCTGCTCAGGCGGATGTGCCGCCCCAGCTTCCTTTGATTGGTGGTGAGTATGACCTCCGTGGCCATTAAACTTGCTTCGGCAAGTTCTGATCTTGAGATCAACGAGGAAACTCGTTTCAATAACGCGGGGCTGGACTCCGTCGTTTGGTATTTCTGACGCGGGGTTCAACCTCCGCGTCTCAGATTTTTGACGCGGGGGTCGACCTGCGCGTCTGAACTTTTTGACGCGGAGTTCGTCCTTCGCGTCCAAGCTTATCTGACGCGGGGTTTCCTTTTGCAGTGCGCCATACCAGTGGACCTCTTCTTTTTCGCCACCATTTTGGACATGAAGGTGGTGCGGACATGAACATGGCCTTCAGCTCACGCCAAGAACTCCCCGTTTTCCGAATTAGGGAGAAGAGTCGCGTAGAAATAATTACCCAAGCTTCTTCCGACACTCTTAGGACATTGGTTACGGACGCCCGACTTGAAAGCCCAAGCCGTAAGTCAATAGTCAAACCTGGATATCTTTTCGGGGACTTTGTTGACTTCGACGCAAGCACTGCTTATGATGGGGACTATAAGTGGTTGCGGAAAGTTGGGGACCGCAACCTTTTCTTGCCCAATATGGAGAGGATGTTCCCCATATCTTATTTCCAGTGTGCTTCTGTCCCAAGGCATATGGATTGGCCCCTGGTTAAGGATCAAGATGGGGTTGTTCTCGGGACTTTGACTTTTCACGGGGTCCGCACAGTTGGTTACAACCGGCAGGTGACAGCTTTACGGCCGAGTTTATTTGCTAAGGAGTATCCCCTCGGCGAAGTGCCCAGCCCGGCGAAGACCTTTGTTAAGAGGTTTTTGGAAAAGAAAGGAGAATTTCCTGCACAAGGATTTAGAGCTCCTGGTTGGGTTCATTCTCCAGTGACAGGATGGTGGGCCTAGATGACTAAGTTTGTTATGGAGGAATTAGAAACCCCTCTTGCCCAAGCTGGATTACTGGTTCCAGTGCGGGCTACTAAGTTTGGGATTATTCAGAGCCACTTTCACTTCTTCTCTATATTGGAGAAGTATAGTCTCGAGACTTGCACTTTCTTCACCCCTATAGGGGAGCTAGGCTTTGCTCTTCACGAGATGCACGAAGTCTCGGAGTTAGGCTTCGCTCTTCACGAGATGCACGAAGTCTCAGGTCTTATTCTCGGGGATTTACCATATGAAGAATTTGTTCCGGGATCTGCGGAACTTAAACTTTTGAAGAAGACCAGCCCAGAAATTTACGCCACTCTCTGGGAAGTGATGTGTCACTTCCATATCTGCATGCAGCTGACGGGGGCTCGCGGAAGCGGCATCAAACAAGTGTCTTGGGCGGAATATTTATTCCGGAACTTGACCATTAAAGGAGGCTCTGTGACCCGATTGCCCGTCAGTACTTTGGAAGAGGTTCAGGCTCGTATTGACGACGCTACCTCCCATTACACCAATGAGGCCAAGGAGGATGTTTTCCCGGCTCATACAGAGTTTGAAAGCTTCCATTATCAAGCTCTGATTCCAATTTCCGACGCGGCGTTGCTGGCTGGATTCTTGATGCTATGGCTCAAGCGTTGCGTCGTTCCTACCAGGCCGGTCGATGCCCTTGCTATTGAGGTGGTCTACCCAGCTGTTCTCTTAGCACATGGGAGACCTGTGAGCCTCCTCAGCGCCATGGTGGGTTGCTTACAGTATGGACTGCGGGAGTTGGCCTCTGACTTTGTTGGTGTTACAGAGGTGGAGTCTGAGGGTCACAAGACTTTCAAAACTCCCAATCCCAGGGTACCAATGCCATATGCCTATCTGATGGCTTGGTACGTGCTTCATTGTCCTCCTTTGATGAGTGCAGCCTCTCCCCGGGGAGATTCATTCATCCCATTTGTGGAGCAGAATATCAGGATACGGCAGGTCCTAATGGATTCACTCAGCTGAGCGGGGGTGTTTTCCACTGGCTTCTATCCATCAGGCCAGGCTATCTGATCTTTCGGCAAGGCGTCAACTGTTTCGTCGAGCCTTACCAACCCTATAGGTTTGCTCTCCAATTTGGGTATGATCAGTTGTATGTCGGGAACCCTCGTCCTCAACTCTCAGTTATAGCCAACTTATATGAAGGAGCCAGGGCCTGGTATTATTCTGTAGCAGGCTGTACCAAAGCCGTCTTCAAGCTTCCCCACAAAACCGCTAATTCCTATACCTCCATCAGCTTCTGCAATTGGTATTACGCTGCTTCTCAGACTCCCAACTTCAACTTGAATACATCTTGCCTAAAGGACATTAGGCATATGTATAATTCAAGAAAGGGGTCTAAGACGTCTCGCTTGAGGGGGATCGATGAGTTTCTATCCATCGAGAGTCAGCCTGCCGAACAGGAAGAGGAACAAGGAGCTGAGCCTGTTCCAGTGGAAGAACAACGAGCGGCTGATCCTCCTATGACAAGAGCAGCTGGGAAAAGAAAACTTTCTGCTGATGAAGCCGGCCAATATGATAAACAGATTCGTCGGAAACTTCTGGTGGATTCTCCTCCCAAAAACCAGCCAAAATCTAAGTTGATGGCTGAGGCCATCAAAGCTGCTATAAATGAAGAACAACAGGAATCGTCCGTGGCGGGCCTGCCGCATAGAGCTGGCCTTCGTTCTCACGGCCCAGCTTTATCGGGCGAAGCCTCTTCCTACCATCCTCCCGAGGACCAAGAGGATGAATTATTGGAGGCAGACGCAGAATCTGCACCAGTGATGGATCTTCCTAGGTCTCCTGCATTGGAACCAGGGGGCCTTGAAGATAATCCACCTCCTTCTCCTTCAGCATTAATGTCACAAGCTGATGATTTAATGCCTAGTCCTACAACGGGACTTATGAAAAGCCCAGCCGCTGGTGCAAGTCTTCCGGAGTCTTCAGCTGTTCCGGGTGATGAGGAGCGAGTTGATTATGACGACTCCCCAACTGGTGATGCAGCTGATGAAGATAGAGGTGATGAGGACGCCGATGTTGGTAACATGTCAGGTGAAGGTGAAGATGACGATGAGAATGATTCCATTGATGACGTCACCACTTTTGATGATGATGCTCCCAAGGTCCCGTCTGATAAAGCATCAGGTTATACTCCTTTTTATCTTACCGGTAAGCTTGGTTTGTTTCGACTTCTTCCACATGCTTTTTCTGCGTTCCGACCGTTTTTTCGTGCAGGTTCACCTACTCCCGGGACTACTTCAGCTGCTCCTTTAGAGCAAGAACCTGCGCAAGTGTCGGCTCCTTTAGAAGAGCAACATTTACCTGGTTCTCCTACGGCGACTGTTCCGCCTGTAGCGTTGCCTGAAACCACTGCCGCTACTCCTCCTCCGGAACAACAGCTCGTGCAGGTATCAGCCCCTATGCAAGAGCAACCCCTGCCTGACTCTTCTGTAGTAGCTGCTTCACCAAAAGCGGTGATGAAGATCTCACTCACCCCAACGGAGGCTGGGCCTAGCTCTTCTCAAGCGAAAGCATTAATGGCTTTGACCTCAAGCCCTTCGCAATTGAACATTTCAATCGCCTCTGCAGCTTCAGCACCTGGATCGCCTGCTAGTCATCATCTTAACGCATCAATCTCAGCTGCTGAAGGGGTATCTTCGGGTGCAATTGTCAGTCTCGCTAATGCACCTAAATTCCTCCAAATCTCCTTGGTGTACCTAAACAGTCTTGCGAAGACGGTAGTCGAGTCCTTGATGAATGGTCAAGGAACTTTGAACTCCTTTCGACCTCTGCTGGAAGCAGGCTTAAACGGGGTCAGGAGTGTGGGCGAAACTCGATGGTTCGAACGCTGCTCAGAGATTATCCTTCGTTTGGAGGCGAAATTACAACGCTTCGAGACCATGGGCCATAGTGACCTTCAGCCGCAAATTATGTCCACTTTGGCTAGTCTTCAGGTCGCTGAGGTGATACACCGAGAGACGCTAGAACGGGACTTAGCTGAAAAAGAGCGTCAGATTGCAGAGCTTCGTGAGCGTAACACTCGGAAGCGAGAAGAACTAGAACGCTCAACTGCTTCTATGAATTCGCTTCGGGACAGACTGGTTGAAGCTGAAGCCGAAGTCCTGCGATTGAAAGCTGAACTCTCCCGCGAAGAAGGCATTGTCAACATCCTTAGTACCCAGAATGCAGCTAGTACTTTGGAGTATCATGCACAAGCTCAAGCTCTGGAAGACGCCAGAAAGGAAATGGCGGCCATCATCATACCCAGCGAGGATGAACTCCGAGCAAAGGCTGAAGCTATGGTGCGAGCTAACCACGAGGCGGAGCTAGCTGAACTCAAGGCTCAACTCATCTCTTTTGATTTAATGCATGAGTGAGCTCGGCTTCTGTAATGTTCTTTTGACAAGAACAAAGTTTGTTTTGTATCACTTTCTTTTGGTTCTTGAATAAAAAGTGATATTGACTTCTCATTGTTTCTTGCATTTATCATTTTTTGATTTTAAATACAAGTCACGAGAAATGCCTGAGATGTATTCCTGACTTAGAATATACCTCCACAATGGTTCTGTTGCAGAGAACTCTCTTTATTATCATTTAAGACAACTCTAGAAAGTTTCAAACTGCTGAGGACGAATACTCCCATAATAGGGTTGACTAATAGAATTCTTCCTGTGTTATGTTTTGCTTTAAACACTGAAAGAAGTCTATAAATGCTAGAGGTGTAGTTTTAACTTAGCAAGAGAGATATTGCGATCGGAGCAATTTTGAAGACTTATCGTTCTATTGACGAGAAGCGATAAGTTGATTTTTGTCAGAGGTGTGATTTTAACGTGACAGAAGAAATATTGCGATCAGGGCAATTTTGAGGACTTATCGTTCTATTGACGAGAATCGATAAGTTGATTTTGTCAGAGGTGTGATTTTAACGTGACAGAAGAAATATTGCGATCAGGGCAATTTTGAGGACTTATCGTTCTATTGACGAGAATCGATAAGTTGATTTTGTCAGAGGTGTGATTTTAACGTGACATTTGTGGGGAAAGAATATTATAGCGTCTCACAGGGGAGAACTGCTATATGTTTTATCATCGGAGTGATGAGTTATAAGACTTGTGATTTGATCAAGATTTTGGGGGAGTTTATTACCCCACTGAAAACGAGTTATTTATTGCTCTGCTGAGGAGAGCCAATAAATCGACAATGAGTTGGAGACTTATCATTCTATTTTTTGAGAATTGATAAGTGGATTTTGGGGTGTAGTATTAACCCAATGAGAATTTGAATTCTGCTGAAGAGATACAGAGGTTTTGATTACCACTCTGTTAAGTAGGCTTACCAGTGCATATTCTTCATTTAAAAGAATTGCAACGCTGAGGTGACCCTCGCGTTTAATATTTGAAACGCGAGGCTCAGGCCTTGTGACGTTGGCTTGGGCTTTGCATTTGGGAAACTTGAACGCGGATGTGAGCTTCGCGTTTTGAAAGATGGTTGGGATTCATTCCTAGAATCCTGTGCCATCTTAACAGCTTGGTGGCTGTTATAAATAGACCTGAGTGGTCATATCAAAAGTCACTTGACTTTCAAGACTTTCGACTATTTTCAAGAACGAGAATTCTCGTTTGATTCCGGTGAGATCTCCGACGGTCTTCGTCTCCCTCATTCAAAGGAATTTCCTCCGATCGACTGCATCAATGGCGCCTCGGAGAAGAGGTTCGAACTCCAAGAAAGTCGCCGGAGCGACTTCCGAAGTGCCGTCGGCTGAGGACGCCGGCGGTGCTCTTGTCCATGCGGGGACATCGTCGTCGTCACCGCTGCTGCGGGGGCTTCCCTGTCGTGGTGAGTGCCACCCGAAATAACTTGCCTTGGCAAGTTCTCTGAAAACCCTAGATGGGTTCTTGATAACGAGGAAGATGACTCGTTTCAACTCAATGAAAACGCGGGGTTAGGATCCCATGTGGGTCTCAACCCTCGCGTTCAAGTTTTTCAACGCGAGGTTGACCTTCGCGTTTGAGGCTTCTGACGCGAGGTTCGACCTTCGCGTTGGAGATTTCTGACACGAGGTTCGACCTTCGCGTTGGAGATTTCGACATGAGCCTTTAACCCTTTATGTTTCAGGCTATGCCTTTATGTTGATAGCTCGCCGCTAACTTCTGCTTTTGATTGTGCAGTACTTCTCCCAAACGTGCCACTTTCACAAGAGCATCATTTTGGGTACATCGGGGGACCTGACGCGAATGAAATATTCAGTCTTCAGAACCAAATTCCATTGTGTACTTTTCCTGATTCGGAAAGAGCGGAAATGATTAAATTCCCTCAATGCTCTACTCTCAGGATTTTGATAACTGACTTGGACTTGGAGACCCCTGTCGGCCGTGCCCAGTTTCCTAAACCAGCGTTCATATTTGGAGATCGCATACCAGCTAATGATCATCTCACATGTATGGAAGACTCAAAGCTGCTGCGGAGAGTTGATAATCGCTTTTTATTTCTCCCTAGCATGAAGAGGATGTACCCTCTCTCCTACTTTCTGAATGTGAGCTGCCGTCGGGGCTTGACCTTCGACATAGTAAAAGAGAAGGAGAATGTGTCGCTTGGATTTGGTCGGCGAGCTCGTACGCAAATCGGGGGGCAACTAAAGGGGTTAAGACCTGGTTTGTTTGAGAAGAAGGAGCTGGTTCAGGAGATGCCACGTCCAGCGAACATCTTTATTCGCCAATTCCTTGCAACTCAGGGTGAATTCTCTACCCAGACGTTCAGATCTCCTGGATGGATCTGTTCCGGAGAAGGAGGTTGGTGGACCCGTATGGTTGACTTTGTTCTTGAAGAGCTTAAGGACTCGCTCACTCAATCGGGTCTCACAATTCCGGTGTTAGCTACACGACAGGGAGTCGTGCAGAGTCTTCATAATTTCTTCGCTATGTTGGAGAAATATAACCCTGACAGCTGCACATTCTTTACGCCTGCTGGAGAGTTAGGTTTTGCTCTTCATGAGATGCAGGCAGTGTCGGGGCTGTCGCTTGGAAAAATGCCCTACGAGGAGTTCATTCCCACCACCGAGGAACTTTCTCTACTGAAGGTGGCGCACCCGGAAATTTGTGCTACTTTCTGGGAGCTGATGTGCCACTTCCACATATGTGCCCAAGTCTTTGGGATGCGTGGAGGGGGCATTATGCATACCACGTGGGCAGACTACCTCTTTCAGAATTTAAACCAAAAAGATGTAGCCGTATACCGCGTTGCAGTTCTCTCTCTTAAGGATGCCAAAGCTCGAATTACGGCTTCCAGTGCTACCTATAAGACAGAGCATACCGAGGATGATTTTGAAGCTGGTGTCGAATTCGAAAATTTCCACTACCAAGCCACAGTTCCTATCTCTGACACGGCTCTGCTTGCAGGCTTCTTCATGATTTGGTTGAAGCGGTGCGTGGTACCGTCAAGACCGATAGAGGCAATATTAGCTGAGGTAGTGTACCCAGCTGTTTTGCTAGCGCATGGGAGACCTGTGAGCCTCCTTACTGCTATGGTTGGCTGTATTCAGAATGGCCTGAGGGTGTTGACTTCAGAACTCCTCAGTGCTTCGAGAGTCAAAGCCGCTAAGAAGAAAGCTGGAAAAGCTCCTCAACCACGTGTACCAGTGCCATACACATATTTAATGGCCTGGTTCGTGTTGCATTGCCCTTCATTAATGACGGGAGTGCATGAAGGGGATGATGCTTATACTCCCTTCGTACAAAGATTGGAGTCGGCCACGTGGACTAGTTCTTATATAGTCAGGGCTCGACAGCTTCTATCCCGAGAAGATAAGTACCGGGTTTTCTGCTGTGCTCCTAACTTTGACGGGGCTGATGTTAAGGATGCTCGTTTCATGGATTTGCTTTTTGAAGGCTCGTCTTCTTTGGAAGAGGGTACCTTCAGCTGGCTTCTTATGATCCGTCTTCAGATCACCCATTTGGCACTTTATCCGGATCTTTCCCAAAGGCCTTGACCCGCTGGTGTTGAATCCGTAAATGACCGTGCCCGTAGACGCCAATTTACTGACTGGAATGCCAAGGCTATGCATAAGGCGAAGCGGCATAATACTCACAGCGGAACCCGGATCCACTTGGATTCGGTTGACTTCGCTGGAGCCAATGTATCCGATGAAATATAGGGGCCGATCATGGTTTGAATTCTTCGTCTGCATATCCTCTTTGGTGAAAGTAATGCAGGGAAGGTTCTTAGTCGCTATATTGCAATGTTGACTCAGCAGTTCCGGTTCTTCAGGCACCGGCTTGACTTGAGTCAGAAATACCTCTGAATTGGCCAAAGCTTCTTGCAAGGCCTCCCTGGTTTCCTTGGACAGCCGCAGCAATTCATACAGCGTTATTCGTGCTGGAATATTAGCTAGTTGAGGCATTATATCGAAGACTTGCGGAGTCTTCAAGCTTTCCGGTTTGTCTTTTCCAATCGGGCGACTTAAACGAGATTTTCCAATCGGGCGACTGAAACAAGACTGTTTTGGATTCTGTATCTCCTGGGGATTCTTCTCTTTCGGTTTATTCACCGGCTGTCGTCGAGCTTCTTCGCCCGGTGTAGGACTTGTAATCACCCCCATCTCCGTGAGAGTTTTGGCTGGTCCCCGTTTATTCACCCCCTGCTCACTAGGTGGTGGATAGTTGTAGTGATACTCATTTCCGCTTCGGGTCGCAAAAACTTCTTGTTCTTCTTCAGAGAGCGGGAAAGCTAGGATTCTTTCGTCATCTTCTCCTGGGATAGCAGAGACTCCGCAGCAAGACTTTCCTTTCCCTTTGGATTTCTTCTTGGATGACGACCCGGCCCATTGTTCATCTTCAATCTTTCGCCGTTTGGGGCTGTGTGTGGCACAAGCCCTTTTTGGCGCTGTCCATGTGGGTCATCATTCACTGTCTTCATTCCCACCTTGGTGACGCGTTTCGGTTCAAACCACGCTGTGGGCACTGATCCAAAGCTGATTGAAACCGCGTTTGCTCCAACATTCTTGGATAGCTTCGGGGTTATGACGCCTACATCAATTAGCGCCTGGATCTTGTCCTTGAGGTGGTAGCATAACTTCGTAAGGTGATGGACCGCTCTATGGTATGCACAATACTTCGGATCCGTCACTTTGCTAGCCCCTT